TTTGAATGGTGTGTAAATGTGAGTGAGCAGTGTGAATTTGTGTATGTGGGTGTATGTGTGTGAATGAGTGAATTGTGTGATTTTGTTGGTGTGAATTGTGTGCCTGTGTGTGTGAGAGGGTGTACGTGTGTGTATGTGTGAATTGTTTGGGAGGGGGTTGGTGTGTATGTGTGTCAGTGTGAGTTGTGTGACTTTATTGAACGTGAGTGAATTGTGTCATTGTGTGGGTGTATATGTGTGTGTACATGAGTTAACTGTGTTACTGTGTGAATGTGTGTAAATGGTATGATTGTGTATGTGGGTGTATATGTGTGTGAATGTGATACATCGTGTGACTGTGTGTGCATGTGGGTGGATGTGTGAATATGCGTGGCTGTGTGTCGATGAGTGTGTGAGTGTAAGTGTGCAGGTGGTAGCTCAGGATTTAAGGCACTTTAGGGGAATCATTCCTTGGCTCTGGTCCTTGGTTTCCCTTCTATGAAACAAGTTGAGTGAATTAGGCAGTCTCTGGCATTCCAGGATTTCGTCTCAGGTCTAAACAGGATTTTGTAAAGTGAAAGCACCATCCCTTGGGCATCCTGGGAGGTGTCCCTGCCCTCCATGGCTCGCCTTCTGCCACATGGCCCAGCAGCAGCTACTCTGCAGAGCCATGTGCTGCCATGACAGGTACTCATGCGCGCGGGCGCGGACCTGCAGGTCCTGGGGATACCAGTGGTCAGGCACTTTGTGCATGCAGCTCATATGCAGCAAGATAGCCACACTGAGGGGACATGGCAGGGGCAGAAGACATGCCCTGGTCACTCTTTAGGCATTTTCTGGGGCATTTTCACTATCCCCATGATGCAGAGGAGAAACGTGAGGCTCAGAGAGGTTAGATAACTGCCCAGGGTCACACAGCCCTCCACGGGGCCAGACTATCATCTGAACTAAGGGCAGGAAGTAAGAAACAAAATGTCATGAACTTCAGCAGGGGATCAGGGAAGGCTTCCAGGAGGAAGGGGCACCCAGTATGAGTCTGAAGAATGAGAGCAAGTTGAGTATCTCCCCAACATATCCAAAGCATGGACAGGGCCAGGAGCAAGGCCAGCAGGAGAGAGCCTTCCAGGTGACATGGCAGCATTGCTTCCCACCCGGTCCCATCCCCTGTCCACCTATGGTGAAGCGTTGTGCAGTCTGACCCCCAGAGCTCATCGTGCCTCTGTGGGTGTCGGACCCTCCAGTGATCCCAGGCTCTGAATGTGAATCCAGCTCCACCACGGAGGCACTGCATGGCCTCGGTAAAGGACGCCACCATGCAGCCACCAACCTGGAAGCCATTTTTGGTTTTCATTTTTCCTGCCCACCTCCAACCCTTCAGCAAACCCTGCAGTCAGAGTTTCAAGAAAAGTCAGAACCGACCACCACCCCGCCCGCCAACCCTGCACCACCACCACCACCTTGGTCTGGGGCTCCAGCGCTGCGGGCTGGATGACTGCAGTAGCTGTCTCACCCCCGCCAGGGGATCCTTTACGACATAAGTCAGATCACAGTTCTCCCCTGCTCAAAACCCTCTGGCGACTCAGTCCACCTGTGGTAAGAGCCAAAGCCTTCCCCGTATCCCATGCTACCCTCTGTCCTGACCTCCTGCTCTTCCTGCTCACTGCACCCGCCCTGGCCTGTTGCTCTCCACTCTGCACCCCACGCATTATCCCACCTGGAGCCTTCGCCCTCACTCTTCCCTCCAGCCAGAACACCCTTCCCCTCATGCCTTGCGCATTCCTACAGCTCTTTGCTCAGATGCCACTTCCTCCAGGGAGCCTTCCCTCAACATCCTACTCATAACGACACATGCCCCCACTCTTACCCTGTGTATTTTTTCCATGGCATCCATCCACATCTGATATGTTACATGTTTACATGGGTTACTGTCAGCTCCCCCTTGTATTAATGGAATGTGATCCCATGAGGGGAAGGGCGTAGACACGTTCGCTGCTCAAGCCCCAGGGCTGAAATGGGGTCTGGCCCTGGTGGGTGTTTAGGAAATAGCCACTGAAGCTCGCTGAGTGGTCCCTCGACTCTCCAGGTACTTGCCCCACAGGGTTTGTGGGCAAAATGGTAGCACTAAGATGCCTGGTACAGCCGCTCCTTGAAACTTAGCACTCTCCTTCCTTCAGAGGGCTGGGCTGGCGGTGAGGAGGCCTGGAGCAGACTGGGCCCTTTGGCCTTCTGCAAGTCCCTCCCCTCCTCCAGCCTCAGTTTCCTCATTTGTACAATGCAGGAGGGGACTTCTATAGCCCCTCTCAACACTGGGCACCTCTGCCTGCCTCAGCCCATTCTTCACCCTGGGGCTGGTGCAGGGCCCACAGTCCATGATCCAAGCCATCAACAGTGAACAGACAGACGACTGACTGGCCCCACAAGGCCTGGCAGCAGCCCAGGGACCGGTAACCTCTCAGCCAAGGTGAAGTCCCCATCCTTCAAGGCCCGGCACCTTCCTCAGGGGGTTCACCTGGGCAAAAGCAACGCTGTGCTGCTGGCCTGCAGGCGAGATCACAGAGGTCAGTGGGGAGAACCCTGAGTTCTCTGAGGTCCCTGCCCACCCACACCCCAAAAATCCCAGCACCAGCTTTCTGAGGCCCCTGTCTGGGAGGCATCAGGGAAGAGGAGGCCTGTCTGCTAGTCACTGGATCACAGACCCTGACCCCATCAGAGGTCCGCCTTTCCTGTGTCCAGCTCCTTGAAACATGGGTCAAGGACAATTCCCTGGAGCTGTAATTCACACCCCACCCCCAGTCAGTTCCATCCATAGGTCAGACCCCTCCAGCCTCCTTCCTGAGCTCTAGGCTTGCCCCCTCTGATTCAGCTTCCTATCCCAGCTGGTGACTTAGGCCCTTCTGACCAGGCTGGGTGACTTGTCAGTACCTCAGAGCCCCAGCCAGACACGTTCCCAACCCTCAGACCAACCTCATTCTCCCTGCCCCGTTCAGCCACTCAGCCTCCAGTGGCTCAGCTCTTCTTCCTTTCCTATGCCAAACTCTCAAGGCTGCCTCCCCATTGGGGGTTCCCAGGTCTGACTCACTTTAGCACTCCAGGCCAGTGCTGGAGGCCGCATTAGGTGACTGGTTAATGTGTTTGGATTGGAGGGCCTCAGTCGAGCCAGGCTCCAGTCTGATCATAGGCCTACATGTGGGCCTCTTTGCCCTTCTGCTGAATGGACATGCACACCTCTGCCCATTCTCCCTCCACAAACTGCCCCCGTGTCCAGCCCCTGTTCTGCAGCAGGTGGCTCACGCTGGTTGTACCAAGGGTAGCAGTTGGGAAGAGTCAGCTGAGCAGGGGCCTCCTTCTGGCCTGCCCAGGGGGCTCTGACGCTGCTCTCTGTCCTACTGCCCAGTTATAGCCCTGCCTCCTCCACTGAATTCTGCTCCAGCTGCATCTCTCTATGCCAGCCAGACCAGCAAACACTGGAGCTCAGGGTGAGGGTGCTGGCCTCCCCCACTGCCCTGCCACAGGGCCCTCCCATGAGCCACAGTGGCTCACGCCTATAATCCCAGCACTTTGGGAGGCCGAGGCAGGCAGATCACCTGAGGTTGGGAGTTGGAGACCAGCCTGACCAACATGGAGAATCCTTGTCTCAATTAAAAATACAAAAGTAGCTGGGCGTGGTGGTGAGTGCCTGTAATCCCAGCTACTCGGGAGGCTGAGGCAGAAGAATCGCTTTAACTTGGGAGGTGGAGGTTGTGGTGAGCTGAGATTGCACCACTGACCTCCAGCCTGGGTAACAAGAGCAAAACTCTGTCTCAAAAAACAAAACAAAACAAACAGACAAACAAACCAGTAAGGGTCATGTTCTGGGAGGCTAACTCAGCCAACTGTTAGGTCACCATGACTATAGCCAACAAATGTGGGATGCTGCTGGGCCCCGGGCTGTCAGATAAATTACTTTCTCCGAGAATTAGAAGGCTACAGGAAATGTATTGTTTTTTGTTTTGTTTTGTTTTGTTTTGTTCTGGGTTTCTTTGCGTGTTTTTAGAGACAGGATCTTGTTCTGTTGCCCCAGGCTGGAATGCTATGGCTCAATCAGAGCTCACTGCAGCCTTGAACTCCTGGGTTCAAGTAATCCTCCCACCTCAGCATCCCGAGTAGCTAGAACTACAGGCATGCACCACCATGCCTGGCTAATTAAACAAAAAATTTTTTTTGGCTGCATGTGGTGTCTTGGCACCTGTAATCCCAGCACTTTGGGAGGTAGAGGCGGGAGCATCTCTTGAGCACAGGAGTACAGGGCTAGCCTGGGCAACATGGCAAGACCCTGTCTCTACAAAGATAAAAAAATTAGCTGGGCGCGGTGGGGTGCACCTGTTGTCCCAGCTTCTTAGGAGGCTGAGGTGGGAATATTGCTTGAGCCTGGGGCCTCAAGGCTGCAGTGAGCCATGACTGTACCACTGCACTCCAGCCTGGGCAACAGAGTGAGACCCCATCTCTGAAAAAATATTTTTTTGGGGAGCCAGGCACAGTGGCTCACTCCTATAATTCCAGCACTTTCAGAGGTGGAGACGCGCAGATCAGTTGAGGTACAGAGTTTGAAACCAGCCTGGCCAACATGGTGAAACCTCGTCTCTTCTAAAAATACAAAAATTAGCCAGGTGTGGTGGTGCATGCCTGTAATGCCAGCTGTTCAGGAGGCTGAGGCAGGAGAATCACTTGAACCTGGGAGGCAGAGGTTGCAGTAAGCTGTGATCGTGCCACTGCCCTCCAGCCTGGGCAACAAAGCAAGACTCTGTCTCAAAAAAAAAATTTTGTTTTGAACTCCTGGACTCAAGCAATCCCCCAACCCGGACCTCCCAAAGTACTGGGATTATAAGCATAAGCTACCACACTCAGCCACATTTATTAATTTCACTCTTGGCAAACATCAGGGAGAAGCTGACCCAAAAGGCCTGGGAAGGGGGATTGTCTTTCGGATAGAGACCAAGACTAGGGTTGGGACAGAGGAAAGTCAAATAAATCACACATTAGAGTTAGAAGCAGAGGCTCAGGCTGAGCCCAGGTTTATTATTCAAAATGAAAATGAAATGCAGTGATTAAAGGACACAGGGTCTCAGTGTGCATCATTCTCATGATGGCTTTCAGGCGGCTGTGGAAGACAGGGTAGGGATGGTGGCCTCGGGAGCTGAGGCGCTCTGGGACTTGGGCAAGTCTTAGGCAAGCCATTCCTGCTTTCTGGGCCTGGCTCCCATGGGCCATTAGAAATGAAAGTGCTTTGTGGACTGTTGAGGGCAGTGCAGGGGTAAGGCTTCCCAGCTCACCGGATCATGGCCAGCACCCAGGGCATCAGCTTCTGCTTTATGGTGGGGTCTGCAGGTGGGAAGTCCTTGGCCTTCAGAATGACCTCATGGGCCTCCCGGAAGAGGTCCTCCCCCACTGCTGCCTCCACGCGCTGCCGCCATGTGGCCAGCTTGGGTCGGCTTTCGAAGACTTGGCAGCCAGCACCCACAGGCTGTGGGGAAAAGGGGACAGAATGGGGATGGATGGTTGCGAGGGCAGAGATGGGCAGCATCTGATTTGGGGACCATAGATCTTCCAGAGGGGTTTGCACACACACTTAAGCACAGTGCTATAGCCAGGTGTGGCAGCATAAGCAGGACTTCAGCAACTAGCCAGGGCCCCCTGCCTAGCGGGCCCACCTGCCCACAGCACTCACATGCATCAGCTCCGTGATGGCTACCAGGTCAGCTAAGGAGATGTGAGGCCCAGTAAGGAAGGCCTTGTTCTGGAGGAACTTGTCCTCGAGCAACTGCAGGTTCACATCCAGCTCTGCCAGGGTGGCTGCCAGTGTCTGGGGAGATACTGGCTCGCCCAGGAAAACAGGGAACATCACCTGGGGATTGGGCAGGCAAAGTCAGGAGTTAGTGGGGTAGAGAGTTAGTTTTGATTTGCATTTCCCTAATGATTAGTGATGCTGAGCATCTTTTTTTGTACTTGTTGGCCAAAATGAGAATATTCTCAACACATTGGGTTAAGTAAAATATATCAATTTCCTTTTATTCTTTCTTTCTCTTTCTTTCTTTCTTTCTTTCTTTCTTTTCTTTCTTTCTTTCTTTCTTTCTTTCTTTCTTTCCTTTCTTTCTTTCTTTCTTTCTTTCTTTCCTTCTTTTTTCTTTCTTTTCTCTCTCTCTTTCTCTCTCTCTCTGTCTCTCTCTCTCTATGTCTATCTCTCTCTCTCTCTCTTTCTTTTTTTTTGAGACGGAGTCTTTCTGTGCTGCCCAGGCTGGAGGTGCAATGGCATGATCTCGGCTCACTGCAAGCTCCACCTCCCAGGTTCACGCTATTCTCCTGCCTCAGCCTCCTGAGTAGCTGGGACTACAGGCGCCCGCCACCACGCCCAGCTAATTTTTTGTATTTTTTTTTAGTAGAGACGGGTTTTCACCTTGTTAGCCAGGATGGTCTCAATCTCCTGACCTCGTGATCCCCCGCCTTGGCCTCCCAAAGTGCTGGGATTACAGGTGTGAGCCACCACACCCAGTCTTACTTTTTATTTTTTCTTTTGAGACGGTGTTTAGCTGTGTCACCCAGGTTGAAGTGAAGCAGTACCATCTCGGCGCACTGCAAACTTTGCCCCCTGGGTTCAAGTGATTCTCCTGCCTTAGCCTCCTGAGTAGCTGGAATTATAGGCGCAGGCCACCAAGACTGGCTAATTTTTGTGTTTTTAGTAGAGACAAGGTTTCCCCATGTTGACCAGGCCAGTCTCGAACTCCTGACCTCAGGTGATCCACTGCCTCGGCATGCCAAAGTGCTGGGATTACAGGCATAAGCCACTGTGCTCGGCCTCTTTTTATTTTTTAATTGTGCCTACTAGAAAGTTTAAAATTACGTATGTGGTTCACATTATACTTCTATCAGACAGCACTTGACTAAATGAACTAAATTCCAGAGAGGCATAACCCGTTCCTAGATGAGCTACTTTCATTTCAATTTCATTTTCTTGGACCCAAGCAGGCAGGGAGAAAGACTGCCACAGGCACGGGCTTTTCTGACTGAGCAGCAGTTTGGGAACTGGGGACAGGGCTGAAAAGCAGAGAGATCTTATAGGCAACATAGTAGTTGGTGATTAGATTTTAAAGCCATGCTAGACTGAGCTAGTGACCTGATCTCACATTCAAGAAATCTGAAACCAAAGATAAACTGAAACCAATTAAACCTGCAACCCAGCCCACCTCCTGATTAGCTAGAAGAGAACAGCCTCGCATCCTGGTTACCTGACAAAGGGAAGTGCAAGCCCTTTCTTGGGGGTATTTATTATGCAATTTAATCTCTGTTCTTCTTTTATCATAATGTCTGGCACACAAGAATACATCATGAGGCCAGGCATGGTGGCCCACGCCTGTAATCCCAGCACTTTGGGAGGCCGAGGTGGGAGGATCACCTGAGGTCAGGAGCTCAAGACCAGCCTGGCCAACATGGTGAAACCCTGTGTCTACAAAAATAGAAAAATTAGCCACGTATGATGGCGGGTGCCTGTAATTCTAGCTCCTTGGGAGGCTGAGGTGAGAAAATTGTTTGAACCTGGGAGGCAGAGGTTGCAGTGAGTCAAGATCACGCCATTGCACTCCAGCCTGAGCAATGGAGTGAGAGTCCATCTCAAAAAATAAAAAAATAATAATAATAATACAAAAAATAATAATAATAAAAAAATAATAATAATAAAAAAATAATAATAATACATCATGAGACAAGCAAAGAAGCAGGCAAATGTGACCCATAATTAAGAGGGAGAAAAAAACAATCAATAGAAATAGACTGGGTGTGGTGGCTCATGCCTATAATCCCAACACTTTGGGAGGCCAAGGAGGATGAATCACTTGAGGTGAAGAGTTCAAAACCAGCCTGGCCAACATGGTGAAACCCGGTCTATACTACAAATACAAAAAATAGCCAGGTGTGCTGGTGGGTACCTGTAATCCCAGCTACTCAGGAGGCTGAGGCAGGAGAATCACTTGAACCTGGGAGGTAGAGGTTGCAGTGAGCTGAGATCTTGCCCCTGCACTCAGCCTGGGTGACAGAGTGAGACCCCCATCTCAAAAAAACAAAACAAAACAAAACAAAACAAAACAGATCCACAGAACACCTACGTGTTGAGATTAGTTGACAAAGATTTTTAGGTAACAGTGATAAATATGTTAGAGAATTTAGAAGAAAAGACAGATAAAATGGATAAACAGATGGTGAATTTCAGCGGAGAAGTGGAAATTCTAAAAACAACCAAATGGAATTTCCAGAGCTGAAAAATACATATCTCAAACAAAGAATGTATTGGATAGGCTTAATAGCAATTTGGCACAACAGAGGAAAGAATCTGTGAAGGCAAAGACAGGTCAGTAGAAATAATCCAAAACTGAAAAGAAGAAAATGGTGCCTGAGCACTTCTGGGGAATGTTCTCGCCGCTGCCCCCAACACTCCCAGCCTCACCTTATGCCACAAGGCCCGGAGGCAGCTTCTCCGCAGAGTCGTGTGCTGCCATGCCAGGTACTCATCCACACGGGCACGGGCCTGCAGGTCCTGAGGGTACCAGTAATCAGGGACCTTATATTTGCGCATCAGGTAGAGCAGGATGGCCACACTGTGGGTGTGGGGGAGTCACGATAGGTAAGGGAAGGGCACTGTGCTGGGTATTCTATATGTAGGGTTTTTTTTTTTGTTTTTTTTTTTTGAGATGGAGTCTCGCTCTGTCACCTAGGCTGGAGTGCAGTAGTGCGATCTTGGCTCACTGCAACCTCTGCCTCAAGAGAATTCAAGAGATTCTCCTGCTTCAGTCTCCCAAGTAGCTGGAATTACAGGCGTGTGACACCACACCTGGCTAATTTTTTTGTATTTTTAGTAGAGATGGGGTTTCACCCTGTTAGCCAGGATGGTCTCAACTCCTGACCTTGTGATCCGCCCACCTTGGCCTCCCAAAGTGCTGTGATTACAGGTATGAGCCAACACGCTCGGCCTTTTTTTTTCTTTTTTTTTTTTTTTTGAGACAAGGTCTTCCTCAGTCACCCAGGCTGGAGTGCAGTGTTGCAATCTCAGCTCACTGCAGCTTCAATTTCTACAATAGTGCACCACCGTGCCTGGCTTTTTTTTTTTTTTTTTTTTTCTTTTTTGTAGAGATAGGATCTTACTGCATTGCCCAGGCTGGTCTTAAATTCCTATCCTCAAGCAATCCTCCAGCTTTGGCATCCCAAAGTGCTGGCATTACAGGCACGAACCACTGTGCCCAGCACACTTCTTTAAACTTTCTGACAATTTGCCAAAGTATTAGCCTCATTTTCCAGAGAAGAAAACCAGGCTTAAAAAGGCAGAGACTTGCCCTAGGGCACACAGCTCTTAATGGTAGAGCTGAGAATCTTTCTGAGGCTATACCCAAGCTTTTCCTACCACCAGGCAAAATCCCACAACAGAATGTCTTGCCAAATGCTTAGAGACAGTTTCTGATCAGAGAACCAGAGAGAGCTTCCAGGAGGATGGGTCATCAAAGCTGGTCTTTAAAGAAGCTCAGTTCTTTCCATTCTGCATCCACTCTCATCCGCTGGGATTCCGACCAGCCTGTGATGGCCTGATTGTTCAAGAAGGCTCCCATGTCCTTTTGTTCTTTCTATCATTCTTTCTGCCAAGAATCCGCTCCTATCTAAGCCGACTGAGGTAGTTTGGCTCCCTAAAGCACCACTCAGGAAACACTCTTGCAGCTGCAGGATCCTAGAACAACAGAACAGACAAGGCCCCCTGGCACTCTCCTCCTTCCCTGGGTTTTGAGGGCCGCCATGGTGATGGGATGAGCATGGACCTGGAAGGGCACCAGATGTGTCCATTTGGAGACACAGAAAAGCTTTCAGGAACTTGGGGTTTCCCAAGGGTTGGGCATGCAGGCCAAAAGGGCAGAAAACCTGTGTATCTGCCACTGGCCCATATTCTCTATTAAGCTGGGGCTACGCCCATGTCCCAGCTTAACGACTCCATTGTCTGTGCAGGGTGCCCAGGAGCTCCTTTTGCTCCAAGCCAGTTGTTCAAGCCATCTCTGAGGAGGGCTGCAGGTCCCTGTGAGCCACAGACCTCCTGAAGGTGACAGTAGTGGCAGAGAAATGCAGAGATTGCACATTGACTCTGGCTGGTACCTGGGAGGCACAATGCTGAGTAACACAAGGACTCAGGACACCTGGGGCACCAGGAAGGAAGAAGGTCCCTGGCAGAATGTCAGAGGAATTCATTGGAGGTGCATCCATCCTGAGATTTCAGAGATGAGCTCTAAAGCACAAACTCCAGGTTCTCTTTCTTATGGGAAGGGTGACTCTGGTGACAAAAGGGGCAGAACTGGGGAAAGGTTGGCCTTTCCTGAAGAGGATTCAACTTCTTGGGACCTGCTGTGATGTAAGACGTCCATATCTGGTGGCTCTCCCATGGGGGAGACCCATCCTGGGAAGCTGCAGCCCAGAGATGGAGCCACCGGGCAGCCCAGATGCCACTGAGCCATCGCCACAGAAGCTTGGCCAGAGGACTGCCCCGTGGTGGCCAAAGCTGCCTTCCTCCACTGGCTTGCCCTGCCTCAAGGATACTCTCACCAGCAACCAAAGGACTGGTGCAGAAGTAAAGTAGATGTTTGCTTTTCCAATCATCAGGGTGAACTGGAATAGCAGGAAGCCAGGGGCCCGGGGTCCAGTACTGACTCTCTGCGGGATGCGGGGCACAGAGACTCTCTGCCTCTGAAGACTTTAGTTTCCTTGTCTGTGAAATACAGGGTTAGAGCAGGATGGTTCCAGCAGGCCTGGCAGCAGCCCTAGGGTCCCACTTACCTCTCCGTCAAGGTGAAGTCCCCGTCCTTCAAGGCTGGCACCTTCTTCAGGGGGTTCACCTGGGCAAAAGCATCGCTTAAGTGCTGACCTGGGAAGAATCCAGCATGGTGAGTGGTGGGAGGAGAACGCTGAGCCCGCCATGGTCTGTGCCCCTCCCTGCAATACTCAGGTCCCAGTTTCATAGCTCTTCTTCCCACCAGTCTGCACTCCTGGTTGGCAAAGACTGGAAGGGCCCCTGCGGGAGGAGGAGGAGGCCACTCCACTGGCTGGTACAAAATAGACAACATCCCTTGCTAAGTCCTGTAGGCACAGCCTCCTTCCATAGCCTGCCCCTCTGCAACAGAGCTCACTGTGCAGGGTGTGGTTCCTGGACCTTGGCATGCACCCTACCCACCTCCTCTTTCCACTATTGCCAGCTTCATGAACTTACAATCAGAGTGTCCCAAGCTGCAGGATAGGTCACCTGAGGGGACTCTGGCTTACTACCTTGTCCCTTCCACCATTAACTCTAAGGCAGGGTCATGAAACACAGAGAAGTGGCCTTTTTCTGGTATCTACCTACTTAGAAGCAACTTCTACTGGCTCTGCCATGTCCCTTTGTTCACCCTGCCCTGTGCATTGTGGAGCTGTCTGTAACATACCTGCTACCACCTTCTGTACCCTGGCCTTTTATTCTCCTTACAGATGGGGTCTCGCTATGTTGCCCAGGCTGGTCTTGAACTACTGGCCTTAAGTGATCCTCCCACCTCGACCTCCCAAAGTGCTGGGATTACAGGTGTGAGCCACCATGCCCAGCCTGCTACCCTCTCTTTACCCTCCCTTCAGACTGTTCCTTCACCAGGAACACCCTCCTCTCTTTCCTAGTAAAACATGCTTCCCTCTGCACCACTATATTTGACAACCAGCTCGGACGTCCTCTTGCCTCCCATTCCCTTTCCTCTGCCCCATACTCTGCAGAGGAAGTCCTTGTGCAGGACAGTGGGCAGTCTCCAGTAGAGACTAGGTGGAGAAGTTTCAGGCAGAGGGCCAGCCATGGAGTGGGAGCCCTGGGCAGAAGGCTTAGCCAAGTAGAGTCGCCTTACTTGCCCAATCAGCCATACCTGGGTTCTGCTTCCAACCCCTCCTACTACCCCACCCCGCACTGGGCCTAGGCCTGCCAGCTGAGTCCTCAAGGGCCTTGGAGGCATGCCAGAGAAACAAAACAGGGTGTAGGGCTCACCAAGCTCCAGGGTCCCCCTTCTGCTCCCAGCATACCCCCTGGGGCAACCTACCTCCCCAGCAGGAACAAGATGCAGAGGACAAGGTTTTGGGAGGCAGAGGTTGTAGTGAGCTGTGATCCTGCCACTGCACTCCAGCCTGGGTGACAGAGCAAGACTCCGTCTCAAAAACAAACAAACAAACAAAATGCCTTGGGCCAGGCACAGCAGCTCATGCCTGTAATCCCAGCACTTTGGGAGGCTAAGCCGGTGGATCATTTGATGTCAGGAGTTGGAGAACAGCCTGACCAAAATTGTGAAATCCCATCTCTGTTAAAAATTAGCCAGACATGGTGGCACACATCCATAATCTCAGCTACTCAGGAGACTGAGGCAGGAGAATCGCTTGAACCCGGGAGGCGGTGGTTGCAGTGATTTGAGATCCATGCCACTGCACTGTGACAGCAAGGGTAAGATTCTGTCTCAAAAAAAAAAAAAAAAAAAGAAGTGGAAAACAAGGACAAGGTCAGAGGCAAAACAGGAGGAGCAGAGGAAGGAAGGGACAAAGAAGAACCCCAATGCAGACTGGACGAGTGCAGAGGGCAGGGACGGAAAGTCACGTCCTGAGCTGTTTGCTGTTGCAGAATCTCAGCAGCTGGGCCACAAAGAAGGGACTTGATCCTGCCCCAGTCTCTACACTTGGCACCCTTAACCTCTCTCATCCCGCCTTTCCCTAGGCCCAGGTCACACGCGTTTTCATTTTGTTTCTTATTTTCATTTTAAGATGGGGTCTTGCTAGAATGTCCTGACTGGAGTGCAGCGGCTATTCAAGGACACCATCATAGCGCCCTGCAAGGGGAGCCCTGACAGACGGCACCTGGAAAATTGGGATGCTCCCACCCTAATACTGCGCTTTTCCAACGGCCTTAGCAAACGGCACACCAAGAGATTATATCCCGCGCCTGGCTCCGAGGGTCCCACTGCCACTGAGCCTGGCTCACTGCTAGCACAGCAATCTGAGATGAACTGCAAGGCGGTAGCGAGGCTGGGGGAGGGGTGTCCCCCACTGCTGAGGCTTGAGTAGGTAAACAAAGCGGCCGGGAAGCTCGAACTGGGTGGAGCCCACCGCAGTTCAAAGAGGCCTGCCTGCCTCCGTAGACTCCACCTCTAGGGGCAGGGCATAGCTGAATAAAAGGCAGCAGAAACTTCTGCAGACTTAAACGTCTCTGTCTGACAGCTTTGAAGAGAGTAGTGGTTCTCCCAGCACGGAGTTTGAGATCTGAGAACGGACAGACTGCCTCCTCAAGTGGGTCCCTGACCCCAGAGTAGCCTAACAGGGAGCCACCTCCCAGTAGGGGGGTGACTGACATCTCATAAGGGCGGGTGCCCCTCTGAGACGAAGCTTCTAGAGAAAGGATTAGGCAGCAATATTTGCTGTTCTGCAGCCTCCACTGGTGATACCCAGGCAAACAGGGTCTGGAGTGGACCTCCAGCAAACTCCAACAGACCTGCAGCTGAGGGTCCTGACTGTTAGAAGGAAAACTAACATAGCGCCCTGCAGCCTGGAACTCCTGGGCTCAAGCGATCCTCCCACAGCAGCCTCTGGAGTAGCTGGGACTACAGGCGTGTGCCCCTGCACGCAGCTGCGCCTGTTTTTGTCCTCCGGTCTCGCTTCTCTTCATGATCCAAACCCCTTTATTCGGCCTTAGGGGAACCCCGTGGTCTATTCCGTGAGACCGAGCAGAGTTTGGGGGAGGCCCCACTCTTGGATCTCCCTGCTGGCTCTTTCTCCGTTCGGTCTCCAAACCAGACCAGCAAGGGCCCCAGGAAGAAGGTGGCGCCGGGAGAAGTTCCCTAAGCTATGTATGCCTACCTGTCCCTTCCTGACTTTTCAGTTCCCCAAACCCGAGGCCAGAGCTACCTTTAATCAGATCCACGATGCGCAGCTCGAAGGGGATGCCGTTCTTCTTGGCGAAGATGTAAACAGCGCGGCAGGGCTGGGACAGCAGGTCCAGGTACAGCTCCAGGCCCATAGCGGGGACAGACCGACCAGAGGGGAAACCAGCGGGAGAAAGCAAACTCCAGTGCCAGGACTCGGGTCTCAGACCTCAGGCCACGCCCCTGCGGCCACGCCCCCCGACCGCGGTGCCCCATTGGGCGGCTCGGGCGCCTGGGGACGCTGTTTAGTCCAGTCGTGGGCGGCGGCCGGCCTGTCAGAGGGCTGGGCCAGCCTGGCTCCTGCGGGATCAGGGCGGGTGGCCAAGAGACGGTAGTCCCTCAGGGGGACGCACAGAAAGGCCCCAGTTCCATCCCTTTCGTGCCTGGCTCTCTCATTTCACTTAGCATAATGTCTTCAAGGTGCATCTGTGTTGAAGCGTGTGTCAGAATTTCCCATCGTCCCCATTTTAGAGGAGGAGATAAACACTGAATGATTATAGACCCAGAAAGTCTGGCTCCAAAGTCCATCCTCTTGGCTCAACACTGCAGAGTCCTTGGTGCCAGCAAGTGGCAAAGCCTCAGGGCTTACGTTCAGTGTTTTGTGGCCACTTGCTTCACTCCAGTCGCACTCCCTGGAATGTGACAGCCTTGGTCTTCCTGCTCCTGCCAGCATAGTGCCATCCCTCGCATTCCCTGGGTTTATTTCTTCCCTTCTCCAGGCCTGTGTTTCTCTATCTTTAAAATGACAGGGAAGCTAGAGCCCTCCTAAGTCCTTGCAAGTGCACACCCCTAAATTCATCTGCCAAGTTGTAAGCCCAGGCCTGCCCCTTGCTGCCAGGGAGTCCCCCAAGGCCTGTCATGGAGCCTGTCAAATAGTATCAGGGTCACATATCACTTTCTAAAACAAATCCCACTGAAAGCATGTCAGCCAAAGCATAATGTTTTCTAGAGAATAAGGAACATTTCTGCAAAGAAAGTGGAAGTAATAACTATTTTATTTTATTTAGATAGAGTATCTCTCTCTTGCCCAGAGTAGAATGCAGTGGTGTAATCACAGCTTACTACAGCCTCCAACTCCTGGGCTCAAGCCATCCTCCCATCTCAGCCTCCCTGAGTAGCTGGGACTACAGGTGCGCACCAAGATGCCCATTTTTTCTGTAGAGGCAGGGTCTCGTTGTGTTGCCTAGGCTGATCCTCCCACCTCTGCCTACCAAAGTGCTGGGATTAGAGATGTGAGCCATGACAGCTGGCCAGTAATAATGATTTTTTAACTGGAAAAAAATTAAGGAAAGATGAGAAATTCAGATTTCCATGTTAAAGTTTTGAAAGGAGGTAGACACTCAGAGAAGGCAACGGCTGCCTTCCCCTCACCTCTGGATAACTTCTGTCAGAGGCCCGAGGAGGAGCTGTCAGGATTCTGGTCCAAGGCTCAGCCTGTCTTGCAAGTTCAAAACCTAATTTGGGGTGCGAGTGGTGGCTCATGCCTGTAACCCCAACACCTTGGGAGGCTGAGGCAGGCAGATCACCTGAGTTCAGGAGTTTGAGACCAGCCTGGCCAACATGGTGAAACCTTGTCTCTACTAAAAATATAAAAATTACCTGGGCGTGCTGGCATATACCTGTAATCCCAGCTACTCGGGAGGCTGAGGCAGGAGAATTGCTTGAACTCTACAGGCAGAGGTTGCAGTGTGCCGAGACTGCGCCATTGCACTCCAGGCTGGGTGACAAGAGGGTAATTCCACCTAAACAACAACAACAACAACAACAACAAAAAACAATTAATTTGGTCCATGTTTCAGGGTTCATCATCTTCTTTGGGTCTGACTCACATAAACCAACTCACAAAGGCTGTATTTATTAATTTATAGAAAACAAGGTAAAAGTGAAAGTATGTGGGATTCTTTTTTTTTTTTTTTTTTTTTTTTGACTTAGCCTCTCTCTGTCACTCAGGCTGGAGTGCAGTGGTGCAATCTCTGCTTACTGCAACCTCTGCCTCACGAGTTCAAACGATTCTCGTGCCTCAGCCACCCAGGCAGCTGGGATTTCAGGTATGTGCCACCATGCTCAGCAAATTGTTGTATTTTTAGTACAGACAAGGTTTCACCATGTTGGCCAGGCTGGTCTTGAACTCCTGGCCTCAAGTGATCTGCCAGCGTCAGCCTCTCAAAGTGCTGGGATTACAGGCGTGAGCCACCGTGCCCGGCCTGGAAAAAAGAGAAAAGTCATTTAGACAGAATGCTCCCAAACATTGCTCAGTGCTCTCTTGGCTGTATAGTCTCCTAGAAAGCCTTGTGGGTGTTACTGGCCAGGACCAGGTCCGTTCTGCCCATGCACAGTAAATTAATCACTGTGACACTAGTTTTGCAAAAGAGAAAAGATTTATTCACAGGGCACCAAGCAAGGAGGTAGGATAATAGCTCTCAAATCCACCTCCCTGAAAATAAGGCTTAGGGATAAGCCTTGCTTCCAAGCAATAGAGCACAGACCCCAGCCACACTCAAGGGGAGGGGGCTATACAAGGATGTGAATACCAGTCTGCCTGCCTCGTGGGCCTACAACGCAGAAGGGCCATGCACTTGGTTTAAAGCTTTGCCGTTGCCATCTTGACATTCTTAACAATTTAAAAATAAGGGTCCCCACATTTTCCTGTGTAGTCAGTCCTGTCCAAGGAGTCCGAAGAGCTCATGAGGGTGGACAGGGCACTGTCTGCTCTGGGCAGTGATGTGGCCACTAACAGCTGTTCTCCCGTCTCCCAGCCCCTACCCCAGGGCCACACCTTCCCCGTGGTCTCTCACATTCTTGTTTATTTGTTTGTTTGTTTTCTGAGACAGGGTCCTGCTGTTACCCAGGCTAGAGTGAGTGCAGTGGTGCAAACTTAGCTTACTGCAGCCTCGACCTGGGCTCAAACAATCCTTCTGCCTCAGCCTCCCATGTAACTCAGACCACCAGAGCATGCCACCATGCTTGGCTGATTTTTTGACTTTGTAGAGACGGGGTTGCACTTTGTTTCCCAGACTGGTCGTAAATTTCTGGGCTCAAGTGATCCTCCCACCTCAGCCTCCCAAAGTGCTGGGATTACAAAGATGTGATCCACCGCCCCTGGCCTCCCTCACATTCTTGACATTTAAAGTTACTGTCATTAACAAGGAACATGGTTACACTCAAATTTACTCAAGAAAAAAACTCTTTTCTCCGTTAAAGAGATATGTGGCCTAGCTGCTTCCTACTCTAGTTGAGGTCTTCTTTTTCCTTTTTCTTCTGCTTCTCTCTTGTTTTTTAGAGACCAGGTCCTGCTATGTTGCCCAGGCTGGTCTCAAAGTTCTAGCCTCAAGAGACCCTCCTGCCTTGTCCTCCCAAAGTGTTGGGATTACAGGTGTGAGCCACTCTGTCCAGCCTCAAACTGTGCTCATTAGATCAGCAGCAGCAGCAGCCTTGCCTGGGAGCTTGTTAGAAATATACTACCAGGCTCCCACCCCTAAACCCAGACCTACTGAATCAGACAGAGTCTGTATTTTCATAAGATCCTCAGGTGATCCAAATGCGCCTCAAACTTCGAGGAGCTTTGATCCAGAACCTGCGCTGGAAGCCACCGGGGGCCACCCTGTTCTTCACAGACTGCAAGTCACGTTTTTTTTCTTGACTCTTCTCTCTGTCCCAATGTCTCCTTCTCTCTGTGTCTGACCCTGAGGACCCTATGACATCTTCTCAGGGGAGTTTCCACTGCCAAAGGCCTGATTCTCTCTCTTTTTTTTTTTTTTTTTTTTTGAGATGGAGTTTCACTCTTCGTTGCCCAGGCTGGAGTGCAGTGGCATGATCTCTGCTCACCACAACCTCTGCCTCCCGGGTTCAAGAGATTCTCCGGCCTCAGCCTCCCGAGTAGCTGGGATTACAGGCATGCACCACCACGCCTGGCTAATTTTTTGTGTTTTTGGTAGAGACAGGGTTTCTCCATGTTGGTCAGGCTGGTCTCGAACTCCTGAACTCAGATGATCTGCCCACCTCAGCCTCCCAAAGTGCTGGATTACAGGCATAACCCACTGTGCCCAACTGCCAGAGGCCTGATTCCCTAGAATCTGATGGGCTCTTCTAGACACCAATCTCTACCTGGGCTCTTGTTGAAGAAGCCAATCAGCTTGTTGGTTGGAGCTCACGTCATATAAAACATGGCCACCTGGCCGGGCGCGGTGGCTCAAGCCTGTAATCCCAGCACTTTGGGAGGCCGAGACGGGCGGATCACAAGGTCAGGAGATCGAGACCATCCTGGCTAACACGGCGAAACCCCGTCTCTACTAAAAACACAAAAAATTAGCCGGGCGAGGTGGCGGCGCCTGTGGTCCCAGCTACTCGGGAGGCTGAGGCAAGAGAATGGCGTGAACCCGGGAGGCGGAGCTTGCAGTGAGCTGAGATCTGGCCACTGCACTCCAGCCTGGGCGACAGAGCGAGACTCCATCTCAAAAAAAACAAAAAAAACAAAAACAAAAACAAAACATGGCCACCTTCCAAGCCCTGTGTGTGGACAATGAGATAGGGACAAGTAGGCATATCACGTTCTGATACCTGGGCCCACGTCTGTCCTCAGGCCCCCAGGATATACTTTTATGGGGAGTTTTCCTCCCTTCCCCCAATATGGTCACTCATAACTTTACACCCAACAGTCAAACAGGAGTGGAAGCTATAGGGTTTCATGAAAGCAATAGGCTAGGCTGTGGGGCTGAGTAAAAGGCGCTGGACTGCGGTAGGTCTTACTCCAAGATGGCCAAATGGAAGGGCTTTTAGCTTTCTTTGTTTTTGTTTTATATCTTGAGATAAAATATTCAATTTCTACACTTTAGAATAAAAAGAGCCATACTTTATGTTTCATATTTTTTGTATGCTTCCTTCCATACTCTTTTGAACAATGCAATCATATTTTCATTATAAGGTGTAATTCACATACCATAATGTCCACTTTTTCAAAGTATACTTTAAAATTCAATTGGTTTAAAGTCAATTCAGTGGTTTTTAGTATATTAACCAAGTTTTGTCACCATCACAATGATCTAATTCTAGATCATTTTCATCACCCCAAAGAGAAACTCTGTACCCATTAAACAGTCACTCCCCATTTCCCTCTTCTCCTAGCCCCTGGTAACCATTCATCTACTTTCTACCTCTGTGGACAGGAAGTATTTGCCTCTTCTGGACATTTCACTCAAATGGAATAATGAAATATGTCGCCTGTTATGACTGGCTTCTTTCATTTAGCATTATGTTGTCAAGATTCATCCATGTTGTAGCATATCACAGTACTTCATCCCTTCTTATGGCTGAATTATATTCTATTTTATGTATACACCACATTGTGTTTATCCATTCACCAGTTGATGGACTTTTGCATTGATTCTATGTTTCAGCTATTGTGAATATTGCTGTGATGAACGTTCATGTGCAAGTTTTTGTCTGGACATATGTCTTCAGTCGTCTTGGGTATATACCTAGGAATGGAGTTGCTGGATAATATAACTCTATGTTGCCCGGGCACAGTGGCGCACGCTTGTAATCCTAGCACTTTGGGAGGCTGAGCTGGGTGGATCACCTGAGGTCAGGAGTTCGAGACCAGCCTGGCCAACATTGTGAAACCCCGTCTCTACTAAAAATGCAAAAGCTAGCTGGGCATGGTGGTGCCTGCCTGTAATCCCAGCTACTCAGGAGGCTGAGGCAGGAGAATTGCTTGAATCCAGGAGACGGAGGTTGCAGTGAGCCGAGATGGCACCACTGCACTTTAGCCTGGGTGACAGAGCAAGAATCTGTCTCAAAAAAAAAAAAAAAAAGAAACAAACCAAAAAACCAAACTCATATATATATATAATGTAATATATACATAATATATTATATATACATTATAATATATATATTTAACTTTTGGAGGAACTGCAAGCTGTTTTCCCAAGTGGCTATACATTTTACATTCTCAGCAGCAGCACACGAGGGTTCCAATTTCTTC